CCATTCATCCCCTGTCTGTTAATCGCTACCTCCCTCATTCACAGCCATATCTGGCTAATTCTTGTACAAATGTTGTTTTATATTTTATTGGTACGTTTTGGTAGGTTTGATTGGTAATATAAACTCAGTATGCTTGAAATATAATGATTCATATCTCAGAGGCTGAGGCTTGCATTCTGGACTCAGCTGGCTGGGCTAGACAGGGAAGCGGGAACAATCAGGACTCTAGGCCGTTCTTACGTGTTTGGGCGTCTTTGTTCCTATCGATAATACACTGCGCTCTAATCCACAGTCACAGTTATAACAAGTTTAAACATAAGAGTTATTTTAACCTATGATTAATATACTTTACATATTTTATCATTAAAACAAAACATCTCAATGTTTAATGAATTTAACAACATTTAAATTCATAACAAAATACAAAATTAAATTAATAAGCCATTTATTCATTTTCTTTTGCTACAAACTTTAATCAATTTCATGACTTCCTGTTTGTCATTCCTCTTTCTCCTTCTCTAACTTGTTTCATCTATGAAACTATTTGTTTCATTCCTAACGAACTTCCTTTCCATGTTGATCAGAATACAGCAGAACTGTTCATTTTTAATAAGGAAAATCGTTTATTTTAGAAAAAAAATAACTGCTTGTGCGGCAAAAACCAGTGTTTGTCTATACAGTTTGCATTGATTTTCCCCCGTTAAATTTAATTCGTTTAATATTCATTGACAAGAATAAAAAGGATACTCAGTTTTTCCGGACTTTTCATTTTTTTTCATATACAGTATGACATTATTTCTTTTTTTCAATTATTCACACAAATGTATATTTGTTTCCATATACAAATATATTATTCATGGTTAGAATTGTTGTTAAGCATTGAGTAAACAACTAGTATTATGTACTATCGTTTCTGAGCGTACAATACATAGATTAATCTCTTGAGTCTATTTTGCATAGTGTTTGTGAATTTTTCTTCTAATTAGTGTACTTTTAAAAAAATACAGACAAATGCAAGTACATTGTTTCCCTTAGGAAAAGTGCTTTTATATACATACCTCATTTATCATATGTTGTACTCTATAAGACTGATTAAATAATAATAATAATAATAATAATAATAATCGCAGCTGATTCAACGCATCATTTAATTTATAGATAGTGAATAGTTTCTAAAAACAATCTAAATGTTTTAGCTAAGGAAGATCATATTCTTTATTTAATTTGAAAAATAAGCCTGATAACACTTTATACGAATCAATAATCAATCATTTAGAAGTAATCGACTTAAAACACCATTGAAATGATAAAGAAGATATGTGTCTCAAGATGATAACGTTTTTCTCGTTGATCATAAAATCCAACTTTATCAAAAATGAGAAAATTATCTTAGAATCGTTCATTGGTGATACATCCTGTGGATTAGTTGTTATTTGAATTACTGAGATTCATGAAATAACTTTCAATGGAAAGGTAAATTACAGTATTGATAGACTCAGTTGTTCCATTCTCGAATCATAGATCACATGATCACACTTATTTAACATAATAGTAATGCATGTATAATGAGGCTTAAGTCAAATGAAACTATCGATAAGAGCCTTAGTTACTGGTGTTTTGCTACATATTGTTAAAACTTGGTGAAATAAACATTATCAAAAATATGTCTGCATATATATCGCTTCTATATTCAAATGATTTTAAAATAAACATAATTAACTCACCTAACTATTAAAACAATTGGATGTTTTACTTTCATACACCAGATGATTAGCCTATCTAAATCATATTTCTTTGCAAATTACACCTCAAAATAGCCGATTATTACACATTGGTAGCAAATATCTTTACTAAATCAACAAATGAAAATCTACACTCTGAAAACAGACATTTTAAATAAATACTTAATGTTATTTCCCCTAAACAAGCATTAATATTCAAGCTTCATAACCATAGAGCAGTACACATTAGCCTAACTGTTCATCAGAGTTGATGCAATGTATGTATAAACAGCTCAATCAGTTCCATAAGTTTAGAGTTCAGGGAATCACTAAAGGCTGCATAATTTTTGTTCTCATTTCATCTATCAAGTGACTCTTGAAGGATCGTAAGTTTGAAAAATTTTAATCGTTATTTAACCTCAAGATAAATATATTTAATGTATGAAATGATCTAATTCAAATAATAATGTATTAAAAACAAGGTGAGTCATAAATACATCATTGAAATACATTAAGACAATGTAATCAAACTAGATAAATTTGAGTCACAGAAATAATATGAAGTTTAGATATATGTTCGATATGTTAAACCACTTTATAATTAAAATGAATATTAACTTACTGAGACTGGTAAACATAGAAAAAGAAATGAAACTTCAAATCTTTTACATATAACATTCAAGATCTTCGATTCCTGTTCAAACGAATTGACTGTGTCATTTGAAGGACTTCCATCTCATCGTTTTCACCAATTTTCAGCCAATATGGTGAATTGTTTAACACAGTTAAATCGAGATCTAATCTAATCTATCTAATTTCTAAATATGAATTTGATCATGCCTTAATCAGTGCCACCTTTACTCACTTCGATTATTATTCTTATAACTTTATTATATTTATAAACAGACTCAATCTAAATACTTTTTTAATAGGCATTTCAACAATTACTAAGTCTAACAAACTAATTTCACTTACAATTATATACATATACATAGGCAGAAAACTTGATTCTACCTTTAAATTATTAAACTGGAATACAGAATTGCTAGAATCTGGTGAGAATTTATTGAAAAGAATATTCTTTTTGCTAAATAAGTAAGAACAAACATTATCAATGACTTTCAAACTGTAGAATCTCATGATCTGCTTCCAGAAACGCATTTATATAATTACTGGACTGAAATGGAAAGACTTTCCTGATGAAAATTTATCAACACGTATAAAAAAGTTTCTTAATTTATGTTTAGCGGATTCAAACCTTTTAAAAGTGACTTTTAACTATGATTTGATTAGTATTGATAATGTAATATATTGACCACAAGTGAAGCATTATTACTTAGATTTTACGGAACAAAAGAAGCTCGTCATTTTTGTTTCTTGAAATTACCTTAAGAAATAATTAAGTAAACCTCTATTTAATCTTATGGCTTACTGTCTAATTGTTCTTTCTAAACATTGGCCATAAGAAATTACAAAAAAATGATTTCCAAAAAATACGAAATACTTCCATTTAGACATTTAGAAGAAAGAAATGAAATGATAGACGTTATTTTTTCAGTTTGGTTTTTATCATAGAACTACACTAATTTATTCATGCTTCATAACTAAGATGAAAACCATTCACAAGCGAGTAGTGATGAACTATATTTACCGACTCATTCACCAGATACGAACTTTCGTACTTGGCTTTGTGTAGTACTCCAAGCATGAAGGCTAACGATACTAACCGGTTACTCAAACTGAAACAGATGGAGCTTGATTCGAACCTACGACTCATGACCTAAAATTCAAACACCCTAACTAACAGTATTTCAAGTTTAAATATTTTTCTATGAAAATACTAAAGAATGGTCTGCAACATAACTTCACAGTGAATAAAGATAACATAGTTTGAATAATAAAAGTTCTCATTGAATAAATAAATTACCGGGTTACATAAAATCCATTAAGATAATTCAAAAGTTCTGTGACTGGTCTCGTTAGCAGCATTTAACAAATATGCATTAATATAATATCATATTGGCAGCAAAATCTGACCTAAAACCTCCTCACGGCGCCGTTGAATGGTAGGAGCAACCTTACTGGGCTACCTGTTCCTGCCATATAGATATTTCAGCAAGTTATCATTTGTGTTTGTTTTAATATATCATTATGTTTATGAATCGCATAACCTGTTCTGCTACGTTTCTGAAAAGTGTACAACCTTTCATTGTCAAAGTTACAAAAAAAAACAATAAGAGACAATGTGGTTGCTGGCAATATACAGCGAAAAGAATACACATTATTCAGATGTTCATTTACTGAACTGCTAACATCTAACTGGCGATCACTCGACCGACCAAAAAGAAAGAAACGGAAGCTTGTTGAAATACTTTACTCTGAGAATTCTATATTGTATCAAAAATATAATACTGAATAAAGCTGATGATTATAATTATGATTATAATTATAATTATAATAATTATTATAATTACTAGCCAGCGTAGATGATCGACGAAGATCGGACTGATCACCAACTCTGTTGTATCCTTAGTCAACTCGGGTCCCTACTCGAAGCTCACTTAACCGCACCGGGCAACCTGATGTATATCTAAAGTATAAGAATTGCAGATATCATCGGGCTAATGTAGTTCAAGTATGTAGGTGTATTCAAAGGGTGTGCGTGTGGTGTCGTACAAAGAAAATGTTAGCTGAAATGTTATCTACCCTATTTTCAATAAAATCAGCGGCCTAATCTATCAGGTCGAAAAAATTATAAAAAGATATGATAGGAGAGGCTATCAAAAACCTCCCTCTTGAGAGAATGCTTATGTTTATGTGTGTGTTAGGAAGTACTGGGGTGGTAGCCATAGGCTGAATGATATGCATGTAGTGTGTAAGAGACAGACTGTGTAACAAATACATTTCCAATGAAAGTGGTGAACATCTACTCTCCCAAGTGGGTGAATACACCTATATATCTGCTATGAGATGCATGGGATAAAATCTGTGTGTTGCTGGTGTCCAAATAATATGCATTTGCTCACATGGTAGGTATGCCTGTATGTATACCAAGGAGTACTCGGATGAAAGTCCGTGTGTTACCCAGTATGCGTACAGACTATACCCATCCAAAGTAAGTAAAACTCTCAACAATCCTTAACTTGATCTTCTTATGATACAAATATATACGCAAGGACCTGTGGGACGGCGGATACCCACAAAATCACATCCGCGCGGTGAGTTTAATTAATTTTGGATATACTTTTACTTTATAAATATAACAGAACATAGACTTACAGAAACTGGTGGAATGGATTCAGATTTGCTTTTCTCTGAATGACATAATCGTCTGTAAACAATTTCTTCATGGGTTAAGAAAAATTGAGATATAACCTAATAATTAAGAAAGAAGTTTTAAAAGTAAGTTTTGAAATGATTGATACGAATGAATACATGGAAACTAATTATATGCATATCAATCAAGGCAGATTATAATTTCATTGATTAATCAGTGATTCACATAACCTTATATTCTACACTTATTTATATTTTTTAATGACTTTAATCAAGATTATGGTTTGTGTTTACTAAATTGCATACAAATGTGTCATTTTATCAGAAATATGATTATTCTTTGTAAATCACTTATTCTATCTTCAGATATATCCTTCCATCTGCAAGGATTGAGTCAGTAATTTGATTTTCGTGAGTAGCCAGGGCTCAGTGATCCTACTACTGTGATGAATGAAGACGTGGTTAGGAGCAGACCAATTTATTATACTAAGTAACACCACACACATTTTTTTAAAATATGAAAACAATACATTGAATAAATCATTTGCATATCTTCCTTGAATTGTCTCTCACATGCTCCATCGTTCTTTCATTCCTGATGCTACTTGAACAGCTTCTACTTCTTCTCCCTTATGTTCCTCTTCTGCCAGTAAGAATCCTTCTTTCATTTGTTGATACATACTACTTATATGTGTTCGTTTAAGCAGCACACACCATATTTGCTAATATCATTCCGAGGAGTAGATAGTATATTTCTACATGATCACATTATTTCCCCCATTATTATATCAACTTTACTCACGGATTTATGAACAAAGCAATTTGGGTTAAGCAGTTATATTAGTATTAATTGATAATAATGAAAGTTATATAGAATTGCATATCTGTATGTGTAGTTTAAGGGCCCTGATTTCAGTCTCTGACGGAACCGTGGGTGTGCACTGTTGTAAAGTTCCATACTAAGATAGTTGGGTGTCCGAATTCCTTTAGTCTTTATTGGTTGTCTAGCTAGTCAACGACTAATATAAAGTGACTCCAAAATGAACAATATCCACAAGCCTTTCATTCTAAATATTATTAAATTTAAACACTATTCAATGACTCAAAGTAGACGTTTGGTCCTCAAATTAATCTCCCACAGAATAGGTCACCATAGACTTGACTAACTTCATATTTAAAAATGTAGATTTCCAGTGGTGTTCATTAAAAACGCAGAAATTCAGACAATCTAATTTGTGTAAAATAATAGATGACTGATCAAAAGTCAGAATAAATTTAGTCTTATGATGTACACATTACCTTTCATTCTTGACTGAATGAAGGTGGTTATAGTATTTTTTAGTGTAATGATGGGGTGAATCGTTATTAGCTAGTGTATGAGATTACATTGCTATCTTTGTTTAGGCATTTAATGTTTTATAAATAAATAAGTTTACCAATTTCTATGAATATTTTGTGCAGAAGTAGTCACTTCATACTTATATTTTCGCATATGTCCAGAAGACTTAACGTGTTATAATAGCAATCATTTTAGTCAAATATCATGAGAGAAAACAGTGAATATCAGACAAGACTAAACATACACCATAAAATTCAAGGACTTTTCTAGGAGTAGATATGTATTAGTGGTTTGAAAGCTTAGTTCGACAACGCTCAAACTCAACGAAAGTTCTCACTGATAATGTCACTAAATATTACCTTAGATTTGAATAGAACAGTCGATTACTTCACCATTGTGATCTTCAAGTAGTACATCATTATTTACGCTTATTTTTAGAACGACTATGTACAATCAAGCTAATTTTGAAAGTTAGTTCGACTACATTTATAGTAATGAAACAATTTATTGAACAAAACTACTAAATTTGAAGAGGTAGACGAACGGATGTTTTCCAACATAACTGATCTTCAAATTCTAACCTAATAAGTTTCAGAAGACAGAGAATCATTGTCAAAATTACAGAGTTCTTTCGTAAAATGTGGAAAATCACACACTAAATACTTCATTTGTAAATCTCCCTTCAATTGTTTTTAACTTCATCATTCCTTCGTTCCTGTTGTTATTGCAAATACTCTCTGTTTACACTCCCATTCTTTTTTATTCGATATTCTCAACCTTCTGTTGTCAGGCACTCCACTTCTGATTGATATCACATACTACTTGTGTCGACAGACACAAGTAGCATACACCACATTATCAGTGTTTGATTGTTGTGCATTTATTTTAAGGACGTTTGTTCAACTGAAGTTAGGGATGGCATAATAAAGTAAAGCATAATTGTACGAACTTTCATTTTAAACACTTAATATTTTCGGCCTAACAATTCATCAGACTAATCAATAAGACAGGCAAATACTTAGTTTAACTTCTCATTATTTAAGTAGTAACCTATATTCTGATAATAAAATGACAGAAGTTCTGTTGCGTGCTAAACCTATGTGATGAATTATGCATTAGAAAGAATCATTTTACTTACATTAGAAAGTAGTTGAGCACGTTGTCGAATGAAATATAAACAAATGAGAACTAAAATCTTCTTCATATTTGTGATTTGTACCAGTTAAAATGAGACAGACTTTGTACAGATCAAAAGCTTAATCGACTCCGGGGTTTTGATAAATTACCTATATAAGCCTATTCTCTATGGTTATGACTAACATGTTCACCTTCTCATTTCATTATTGTAGCACCTCACCTACACTTTAGTTTGTTCAGTTTAATTTTCACACACCCTTCAAATAACTTTTTTAACAAATATTGTCATTAGGCTAGTAACGATTTATTAATATATTTGTGTTATTACTACCTTGTTTGTACGAGTATGCATACTTGATCACATATTACAGCCTAAACACAGATATATCATGATAGTTTTAATGTCAGTTCCTCAAATTGCTCGACGACTCATTCACTTGCCTGATATGTATGTGAATCTCAAATCTCAATAGTTCACTCACCCGCATTCGTTCTTATTCGCTTCGAGCGCTCGCGGCTTTTCAATCTATACAATACAATAATACACTATAGTCGACGCTTCGTATTGTCTTCTGAAATTTATACACCATTGGGAGTTATCTAGTAACGGTTATCAGAACGATAGATATACGAAGCATAGGAATAAGTTCGAAGAAATTCTATTATACTATGATCCTGACCTATTGCCCTTTTTTTAAATTATTGATCAGTTGTTGTTACTTCTTCCTAATTCTCCTCATAGTAATTAACTTGCTAATAAATTAACATTTAATTATTATATCCTTCATATTGATCATTGTAATAATTTTCTCTCATCTATAAATTGTCATCATTTTATCATTTGTCACCAGCCTTCAGATCAATACACAACTTCCATTTGATATTCGGTATTTCTAGATAATTTATGACACAATTTCAATTTGTTGTCTAGTAGACTATACACGTTAGTATAATTATTACTGTAAAGTCCCAGTAAATGATATGACTGGAATGAAGAGTTACTTTACTGAATAGCTTTGGTTTATTGAAAATGTATTTGCGAGATTCATTGGGAAGATGTGGATACAATAACTGTTTTATGTAATTCATTTAAATATTAACGACTGAATAATAGACAATTCTTTTAAGTCAATCATCTTCCTGTTCGATTAATTCTTTACTTTTAGAAACCATATTTTACCAACATTTATTTTGAATGTAAACTTAATTGAACAACTATCAATACTGACATTAAAATAGAACAAGACCAATTTTACAACCAACTCAGATCTTATTTCTAATCCAAACTTCCCTTTCATCATTTTAAAGGGTTATTTTAATTACCAGCCAACATTAAATAAAGAACCACTGAATGCGTATGGACAATGAATGTCTGTTTCACCCTAGTTTAGGAATACTTAACATAGAGCACTCATAGTCCCAATACGCAATTGCATTCAGGAAATTGTGAAGTGCTATACAGCAACTAACAGTTTAGTTCTTAATTTTTACTCAGATGCATTATTGTCAATGGAAATTCTTAATTTATGAATTTAGTTGTTAATAAATATTTTCATAAAAATTACATGATATAAGAAAAATAATTGAAAACAAAGTGGAATACTTACTTTTGCTAGTGCTATACAACCAACGTCTGTAATTTTATTGTTGCTAACTGATAATGTAAGTAGAGTACGGTTTGTTCTTAGTGCCTTTATTACAAAAGTAAACAAACAATTTAAAAATAAAAATTCACTTGTAGAATATGGTGGTTAGTGTAAATAGAATTGTAATATAGATTTATGACAGTACGTAAATCATACTATGACAAACAGTCGATTTTTAGTTTACATTCAAGAATAAGAAACCAAATTACAATAGTTATTTAATGGAAAAACAACCAAGGAAGATAAAGAGTACTAAATACATATTTCGTCTTATTTTCATGATGAAACCTTAAGCACTTATTCTTCTTAATCTTAAAGCTGACTAAAGATGAATTTCTAACTTGTTTACTTAGCTACTATTGTTGTTAGAACTAGTATCAATCAATACGGAAAATCCGTTGTTCACTCAATAAATCAAAAATATCAAATTAGTTAGGATTTAATAAAAATACATATCGTATATTTCGCATAGCTGAAATCTCATCGAAAGGAAATTGGACAGATATGTTAATTTTGAAGATGGTGAAAGATTGGGAGATTTAAACCAAGCGGAATTGCAGTCATTTTAATAGTTTATTTTTTTTTAAAAACTAGATACAATCAATATACCTAGCTATAAGGCAAAAATGCATAGTTAATTTGGAGAAGAAAATTATGGATATTCTTCTTGTTCTCCCCATAATTTCAACACGATTATACCTTTTGATCTTCAAGTGTTAAGTACTTGTGTATGTAAATTTTACAAACATACAAGGTATTGCTATGCATATCGGTTTCCATACTCATTAATTGGTTCATCTTAAAAATTATTACAGCATAAACAGATATAAATGGACCAACAGCATCCCTAGATTTGTTGCCAGGTTAATGTATCTAGAGTGGAACATTTGATAGAGTTGCAAATAAATCTGAATAGCTGTATGATTAGATACAATTAATGCTCAATACATTATTCTCCATAATACAAACATTCTTAAGACAATAAATTCAGAATTAAACGAAATAATCTCTTGTTTCTTCATTTTAACATAGTTCATATGAATAGTGAATTCAAGAAATATGAATCAGAATATAAGTAATTCCCTTTTGGTAACAATATTAGAAAGTATGTTTTAATTCATTCTGAATTATTTAAAAATTAATCAGAATAATGTATCCAATAACTGTGGTTTCAAAACATATTACATTTAATAATACTAATAAGTTATTAAATCATCAGCTTCTAGTTAATAAATTAATTAGACCGACACAGTAAATGTATAACTCTAAGTGAGACGGGTTCTAATTTGATACGGAGTATTAATTCTGTCTATTTTGTAAATATCCTTTGGTGATATAGGACAATTAGAACGATATCAATTTTCAGAGCCTCCCGCTGACTGGCTGGCTCCACCCATTTATCAAAAAACAAATTGATCTACAATGCTGAGTAACATTTTCTAGTTGCTTCGTTCCAACTTTATTGATAGAACTCATTCAGTACCACGCACTAGTTGGAATAACAGTATTTACTACTACACGGCCGATTACCGTAGAAATATTAGTCATAATAACGACAATTTTACGTTCTCACTAGTTACTAGTTTCGTGAAGAAATTCCAGATTTCTAGTGAGAAGGCCATGGTCAGTGGAGTTAACGGTGTTGGGTATGAGGGAGTTAATCATCAAAGACAATGAAAGACCGTCTCACAATGTCGTAGACTGACTGAAGTTAGACTTTCACATCAGTGAACACCAGTTCAGTGATCTAGAAATTAAGTGTTCGCATCTATGACCGAAGGTACGGGGTTGGATCTCCGGTTACGATGTCGTGTGTATGCATTACTGAGGGGTCTCATGCTAGGACGTTTAGTGATGACGGTTTCTTAGTGGTTGTCTAACTTATGTCGGTTCATGATTTCATTGAAGCATACTAGTCTCAACAACCTCAAAACTCATACTGTTTATGTATAAATTTATAGTATTAATAATGGAATAATGGAATCTAATATTTTTTAAAAATACGTATTATCATTTGCTTCATTGTTTACTATAGTGTTGAATAAGTCAAACTAATAAAATGTCTAAACATTAAACTAATACTTAAACGAGAATACTCTCTGAATTAATAGGACCATCTCTAGACTAAGAATTAACAGAACTATTGTGGTGTGTGCTACTTATAGTGACATAAGTAGTATATAATGTTAGTGGTGGACAGAAGGTCTGGCAGCAGAGAGACAAGAGGATCGAACAGTAAAGAATCGAAACAGAATGCAATTTGTATGAAAATGCAAGAACAATGAAGTCCGAGTCATTTTGGGACAATCGATGGACATTTTGCAAATTAAGCATTTACTTTATGATTGTTAGATTTTATTAACAAGTCCTGTAATTTTAAGCTAAATACATTCGATTGTCCCCACTCGTGTTCTGTTCACTACACTATCACTAATATCTATTGAAATAATAGCCATCTAAAATGATCTCCTATAAATGACAAGAAAATGAAATTTTTACTCAACTATTTCATAACTAGTTTTTTTTAAGAATTAACTCTAACTGAAGTATTGATTTTCGATGACATTTTATTTTTATCCTTATATTGATAAGGATCAAGCGATGTGTGGTTCACAACAAAAGTATATATAAGGACTTGAAATGAAGGTCAAAATCTAAAAAAAGAGATTTCAAAGTGGATAATAGTTGGGATAACAGTTTTTACTAGATATAGTTTACGGATTTTTCTTTTCTTCTAACTAGTGGAGTTAATCAGATTATTAGACAAAAATTAGGGAAATTCGGTTAAGTTATCTAAATGAGTTTAATAAACAAAAGTTAAGCCAAAATGAGTATTTGTGTTATTGTTGTAGTAAACTGGACTTCGAACAAGGGATAACTGAGATTTGGATGATATAAGGAAGAAGTTGTAAAGTAATAGCAGATGTGAATTATATTCATCTTTTATAAAACACTACAATCCTTTAAATTCACTTGGTGTTGTTTTACTTGTATCTTCCCATTGTTATTTAGGACTGCAATCGATCAGTATCATGTTGGCATATGTGGTATATGTGCATCCTGTGCGGACGCCTCGATAAAGCGTTAAGTCACAAGCTTTTTAAGCAAAGATGAATAGTGGCTAGCTGTGGAATCCAGGACGTGCGTTTCGTCCTATTTGGGACTCATCAGCTGGATGTACCTGCATCTCAGAGTTGATGTTCAGTCTGGTACTCGAACCCAACACCGTTCGCTTCAAACGCTATCACGTTATCCACTTAGCTACTGAGTCCTGATAGCCATCTGCTTGTGCGATTAGAATATAATTATTTATATTTCGATTCTACTGATATTTGATGATTAGTTAGTGGATACCAAGTTAGATTTGAATATTTAGTTTACCATAGTAATAATAGTATTAAAAGTCAAATTAAATAGTATATAAACCAAGATTACATTCATTTTTCTGAATGAGCAAGATAAATAGAATGTAAAACTGCATTGATTAGGATGTTAGAAACTAATCTTTAACAAATTAAAATATTTTTTATTGTGTTTAACAAGTAATAAGTATGTGAAAACAGAATATTTTTGAAAATCAGCTACATGAACCCTTAACATTTAGAAAAACAGAAACACTTAGCATTAGTAAGGGAATAATAAAATGTCTTAGATTATCAATCATTAACTTTGGTAAACGCGTTTAATGTTTGTCCGCATCACTTAGAGCTTAATTTATTCTAATGTTTATTAAAATCTATCAAAAATCCATGCTACGGACTTTCATGGGTCCCATTTGTCCAGCCTGATTGACTGGTTAACGCTTCACTCTAATATCGATCTCTTAAAGGTGCTACCACGCAAAAAAGATGTCTAAAAATATTCTTTATTTAAATTTCTGTGAAAACGTCACTTTCATTCGAAATAATCAGATCTAATCATAAACTAAAATAGTGAGAAGCGGAACGGTTTATTCACCTTTTAGTAGGTAGGCAGATGTGATGTGAACATGATGTCTTAAAATTTTTTTTGTACGCTTATCAACCGACCTAACAAGTGATATAATATTATAAATTATTTTTTACGAAACATATTTTGACTAACAAACCATGTACTTTTTTTCCTTTTTCAGTTATAATCAATCATTCTGCTTGTTGTACTTCACTTTTTTGCATATATATACCTTGGGAAATATAAACTTTAGTGTTCTTCAGAAAAAATATTACTCTGATACCCCCTACGAAGATAATACAATGGAACTCTACAAAAAACCACTTCTGTATAATAATGGAACACTATAGCCAATGTCAGCTATTAAACAAACATTTAAAATGGATTTATTTTGATGGTAAAAATGTCAAAGTTTAACATTATCCTGTTACAAGTTTGACATTTTAAAAAATGACCACACTTGTTCACTATACTGATTACAAACTTATAGCAAATGTAACTGAATTATTTTTCAGCTAAAAGATTTTTGAGTTTAATGTTCAATGTACAATTAGTTGATACATTTTGATTGGTACATTCAAATTTTTTATATTGATCCAAGGTCATTCCGTGTTTTGATCAGTCACGTGTATTTCTCCGGTTTTCGTTTTTTTTGTATTGTTTACTCAATACAAATTCGTACTTCCGAAAAGTTGATTATCATAAATGTTGATTATTACAAACAAGAACTACAATAAAGACAAAATAACTTTTAAAACAAAACAAACATTACATAATCAGATATTAAATAATCCATATTTTCTGTATAATATAAGTTACCTGAGCCAAATAAATGATTCCTTCATCTCCTAACCGATTGCCCGATAGATCAAGACTTATTAATTTTTTATTGACAGATTGTGTTGTTCCTAATCGTTGACTAATCAATTTTGCTTCCAATGGTCCAATTTCACAATATCTTAATCGTAATTTTGTTAAACTAATTTAAAAATAAGATTGAACAATATTAAATAATCAAACTTATTTGGAAGTGAAGAGAAGAAATTAACTTGTTTAAAACTCTCTAAAATTGATAAGTTAACGATATTATAGTGTAAAATTAAAGCAAATCAACTTAAACATGAATAGATTGTTATTATGATTCTGTACTAAAGCAATTAAATTGAAATGGTTACTCTGGACTATCATTTCGGTGTTCTAGTAAAATTTATTTTAACTCCAAGTAGTTAGTATGTATCTAGATGGCAAGGAAATTAGAAGCATCTAACTGTTACCTATTCATAACATCATATATTGATTTATATTTTCCATTTTTAATTTCGAGGGGTTGTAATAAGATGTAGAAGGCTTAGTGCCAGCTTGGTAATGGTGTAGTTGAAAACAAATTTACTCGGTCATAATAAATCCAGAATCTGGTACAAATATGAGTTTGTCTAAGTTACGATACGGAACTAAAACGGTAAGATTAAGTCTACAGAACGAATGGTAAGAGTCAAAATGATATTATGAAAGATTCAAGATTGAGAATGTAATGTGAGATACTATTTAAGCCCATATAACTTATTCTAACTCCTGGACAGGCCAATTTATCCATTCTTTTTGACCATGATAACTATTCGCTCATTGACCTTGACTGTTTTTATGTAGGCGTATGCAATTGCATTTCCTATCTTATTCATTACATCTCTGTAAGTTATTTTTATGTAACTATAAATATCGATTAATGCTTGGTTAAACAGAGTTAGCTTATATGCCTTCTCCACCGCGCGTCATTTCGCTCCGTACAGTAGAACTATCCTGACTTTCGTATTGAAGATCCTGACTTTGGTGTTGGTTGACAGTCGTTTTGAGTTCCATATGTTGTTCAACTGTAGGAGTACTTCCCTCTCTTTGCCAATCCTCTCATTTACATCTTTATCAGATCCTCCTTGTTTGCCGATAATGCTCCCCGGATATCTGAAAGTTTTCAACTCGCCCACAGTTTCTCCATTAAGTGCGATTGGGTTGGTGCTTTCTGTGCTTACTGTGGACACTAGCAATAAGATGCAGTTATATTTAGCTGATGAGTCTTGAAAAGTATAAAACTGAGGTCCAAGATGCTAATACTAGCTACGATCCAAAAATACAATCAGCCTCAATCAGAACACATAAATAAAATTCACAAGAATCCAGGAGAATTAGATGAGCATATTTTTAATAGTAAAACTTAAGATATAAACGAACATAGATGTTAAACTATTAACTCTCCGACTGTAAGTATTCATATACAGCTTTTTTAAAGTTTACTAATGAATCTTGTTGGTTTTATTGCAGCTCTGAAAAATGAATTTCTTTTTATAGTTATCACTCTTTCGAGCAATTCTGTTCTTGTTGACTTACGAAATAGTCAATAGTTTAAGTATCAAATAATTGGGTAATTAATTAACTAGGACATGGATGAAGTATCATTGTTAGTATCAGACTTAACAATTACCTAGAAATTTTTCTAAGTGAATTCGCTTACAATTCCTTTTTCATTCAATCACCTGATTTCCAGTTTATATCCTTCATTATGGAATTCTCAACTATCTATAGATTATAGGTATCATTACCAAGGTTTGATTTGATAATTTCGAATAAATTGAGCATTGGGTAGATTGTTATAAATATAAATAATAGATTTGTAATATCCCAATGAGTGGGATATTACAATGGGATATCACAAATATATTATTTATTTATATCTTTAGATTAGTTTGAATAAGATTAATATAAACTCATTTCTTTGACATTTTTTAAATTTCTTTATTCATGAATGGACTAAAAGAAACGGAATCTATATATAAATAAAATAAGTAGAAATCATATATATATTACTACGAACTTATTGGATTCATCAATTAATTGAGCATATGAACCAATTTCTAATGCTTCATTAGCATCTATTGTTAATGACCTGAAGATAAGTACAACAAATAAAGAAGTAATCACGAAAAAAAATGATTTAAAAGAGAAAATGATAAAGAACACCTTAATGCGTTTACCCTTTTTATGAAATATATATATATTAATATCATATAAAATTTATTAACATATATACTATCCCAAGATGAGATTTTCTTACAAACAAACAATAGTTTATTACTTTTCATTCAATGTTCAATATAGTATATGTTAGATAGAGTAGATGGGAGAAAGTGACGTATAAAATGCTAGTAGATATTATCTTATAAATCGATCAATATTTTAGTAATATAATTATTGATTATTCAATTGCTTTATGAGGTTTTTTTATACCGTCCTAGTTGTAATCTATCTTTGTATTCATTGGCTTTTGCAATATTTTTTATATTCCATAAATTATGATTAATTAACTATAAATATATATGAAACAAAGATGGATGGTGGCTAGCAGTGGAATCCAGGACGTGGGTTTCGTTCTCTTTTGGAATCGTCAGATGGATGTACCTGCATCCCAGAGTTAATGTTCACTCTGGGACTCGAAACCAGTACCATTTGCTCCAAACGCCATCGCGTTATCCACTTAGCTACTGAGTCCTGATAGGCACCTGCTTGTGCAATCGGGTAAAGGATTCAGTAACTAAGTGAATAACACGATGGCATTTGAAGCGGACGGTTCTGGGTTTGAGTCCCGGAGTGGACATCAACTCTGAGATGTAGGTACATTCAGCTGACGAGTCCCGAATGTGACAAAACGCGGGTCCCGGATTCCACAGCTAGCCACCATCCATATTTGCTTAGAATGCTTGTGACTTAACGCTATATCGTGGCAGTCCGCATAGGATGGGAAGTTACAAGCAAACAACACCAAATGAATATAAATCTATTATTCTACTTTGTATCAGCAATGTCCTATTGAAGTCTAATGTTTTTGATACGATTCAGTCTACAGTTCGCCTATATAACCACTTGAGTTATAAAATATATAATTATATTTATATTCATAATTATTCATATAGTTCAATGTCATATTTCTCTCCGGAAGCCCAAATATCTCTAGTTGTTAGATATTTTATGCATAACACCACTCTTTATTTTATACAAGTTTAAAAATCAGTTTCTTTAGCTTTTATTTTTGAATAGCCGTGATATTAGCCTTGCTTTGAGGTTAACTACGAAAAAATTCAACTCACTTTATAGTATTATTTGTAGATAAGAATGAAGTTAATTGAGTTATTTGTTCAGTTGTGAATCCGACTCTCCAAAATCTTTTTTGTATGAAAAAGGTAATGAGAATATGAAAACATTACTGAATTACTACGATGCACCTATTGAATTGTTTGTCGTAACTACAAATATAATTAAATGGTAGAACAAGCAAATCAGGGTAACACATTAACGGAGAGAATTATTTCAGCTAGATCCTCATTAGACTTTACTCTAACATATTCAGATGAAGAATATTAAATTAATCAAGACAGGTTAAACGGTTGTCATGCAATGGGATTAAATAACTTGTGTGGATCATTTTAAGTTACTTGTGAGTAGTTCAAACTGAATCTCAAAATTTTTTAACAGTGATTTGTCATGGCAATTTTTTCAATAAACTGTAGTTATTTTTAGTTGATATTTTCCGAAAATTAGTCAGTAACTAGAAAGAATTTTGTGTGAATTGCGACTCCTGCTCTTTATCAATTTAGAATAGGATCCTTAGACCACAATTATTATTAAGAATGTTTATAATAATAACTCCAGTATAATATTTGATTAGTCAGGTGATTTACGATAGTAGTTGATTAGCTTGTTTAAATTCAGAAATCATAATTTAAGTTAAATAAACTGTAGGATCATAAAAATAATCTTTTGATCAGTTTTAAACTTCAGATCTATCATAGAATTTTACTTCATGATTATGTGAATATCATGTATGTGACAGTATTCTCTACACCGCCTTTTCAACTTAAATGTAAATCCAACTCAATAGAACTGGAACAAATAAAAAGATAGATGAGTCATTAAATACGTTAAGGCAACCACGATTCAAAGACCGATATCCATGTGATGGAATATATAATAACATGAGCCCTAGTTAACAGTCATCAAGAAGTTTACTGATAAACCAGGAATATGACAGTTCATTCTCGCTAAACATGTAGACAAGCATAAAAATTCACTTTCCGCTATATTTCACAGAGATTAATTACGACCCAAATTAATTTTAGTCTTTGTGTGTTAATTCCCCCTACTAGATGAGAAGACTCTCTGTATCTAAAAAGGCTTCTGGCAACTTGGTTTTATTGAGGTTTTTCTGAAATCATCTAAAATAAATTATAGTGAATTAACGTGAAAACTTTGTAAAATCAGTCATATTTTTTATTTATAACTATTAAAAACCCATCCTGTCTGATTTATTTGGTACATGTAATAATATATCTTTTACACTCTTGGGTAATCTTACTCTAAAATTTATGTTTTTATTTCACACATCGCCGCAGTATGTCTATCAAGACTATTTATGTTTGCCTTTTGGACCATAATTGATAATTATGAGCAGCGATACTCAAAATTAATGCTTCTTTTTCTTGTTATGTGTTTTAGGAGTGTTCAGTCCCTCAGATGTATCAGGTTACTGTTCAGCATTATGTACATCAATACTCACATTTGTATGTTATGTTATGTTGCAGAAACTAGTAAGCCTTGAGGCTCTGCAATAAGGTGTAATAATTACCAAATAAATGCACGAGACTGATAGGTCCTGGGTTCGAAGCCCGCGAGGCGGGGTCGTGGATGAGCACTGTTGAAGAGTCCCATACTGGGACGAAACGGCCATCCAGTGGTGGTCTAGCTTTAATTAACTCATGATCTCAACTGTTGAAATTACTACAATCTCCACAAAACCCCTTCTGATACAAATAAACGTTAGCTAAAATATTATGACTTAGGCATTTAGAATGGCTAGTAGACTCTATAAGAGATTAGTTTTGAGTTGTTCAAGTAGCTAGTGATATCACTATATTTTTTATTTCTAGTAAGTTAAAATAAACTCCGACCAATGATAAAGATCCCGTTCTCGAGAATGAAATGCAATGAAGTAATTCCCATCGATCAAGCTTTTTTCTTTTATCGTTTGAATCGTATCTTATAGAATGATAGCTTAACGCCACTGTTGATCTATAGAGCCGTTTTTAACGTGATCTATTGACGGATAGGCAACGAGATACCTTTCTATTGATTCAGTGAAGCTGCCTCAGTCCATATTGCTGGTCCGACAGGGGTATATTAGAAAAGTACAACAGGCGGTCAAACTGAAGCTTGGAATCAATCCATGAGGACAATGACGGTCAAACTTAGCCATATAAGTAAGTTCAGACTACTTGGTCGAGGTTCACATGATTACCGTAATTAGTGATTGAAGACGTTGAATGACACGGCTCAGAATCGGTTGTAATGGAGCATTAACATTAACTCTCAGCCTTCGCTTAAACTCCGAGTTTCAAAATTAAATTCATTCCACAAATTTGTTCCTCGCAAATCGTATCATTCATGCCTAGTCTCTTTTACTACAGATACTACTGATACTGTTACCGCTTCTGTTACCTTGAGATTTTTCTCTATAACTACATCTCCTTGTATTATTGTGATGCAGTACCTTAAACTGACTCGCATATGTACCAGGTTTTACGTTGTGTACGACTGGCCAACTCAATATAAGAATGAATTCCATGATATTTTACTGAAATGGTAGGGTATATATTGATGGCGTATCAATTTATGTAGAAAATTGTGTTTCGGTTTAAGATTATCTGCAAAAATATCATATTATTCATTAAATATCAAGTTACTAAATTAAGCGATTATAATCACAAATAATTGTACTCACACAAGTTTGGAAAGCTTGTTTGCAGCAGAAAAACATTTGATTAATACATCCAATTGATTATTACTTATTTTCCAACCTATTTTTTAAATTTTCGCTCCATAAAATCTCTACGCTGTCAAAGCGTACCTTTTATAGAAACTTCATTAACTGTTTCCGGTTTATCAGGATTTTCCTGCTGAACAATTATTTTCGGTTTCAAATATTCCAATGTTTTACATAATTTGAATGTTGTAGGATTAAATCCTAATGATGGTTGTATTTCTAAATTGTGATAGGAAAGAAAACAAATGAGCTATTGGGCTTTATTTCTGTTCCGAAAATAACACCTGATAGTATGTTACACATTTTTAATCCTACTTGTAAACATGACAGATAAATACACTCTTACGCGGTACGGTATTTCGAATTTTCACGAGTTTATATTTTGATGAGGATTGAGTTTTCCGCAAAAATTTAAATTTTGGCAGTAAATACAAAAATTCTACCAACAAGTCAGTCATTATGGTGAGAAATCTGAAAAATCGATGATCATATCTTGAAACTTCATAAGCATTTTCGCCAGAAACTGGAAGGCATCTGATAACCCATTCATTCTATATTAGGACTCTCTTAGTGCGCGTTTAGACGATCCTGGAACCAGTTCTTGTAAATGAAAAAAATTGTAATGAACAATACAAGGGTTGCGAGTAGAGTATTGCGGACATACCGGAAATTGGCTGGTTGAGCTGTGAATCTTATTTTACTGAGGAAGCTGGGATATGTGTTCCTTTGCCTGCCCACCACTTATCCCAACCTTTAATGATTGTTTCATTAACAGTAGGTTGGAAGTAAACTATTAGTGGCAAAACTAAGATATAAAATTTATCTATGAGGTAGTTGACACTTGAATAATCCATATTAGTCGATGGAAAGCACTTGATTGAGGTTCTTGAGATAATTAGTGATCACTAGTTGAAGTTTGGTGACGTGGCTCAGAATCTGTCACAATGCCTCAGTAAAGTTAACTCTTTATTTTCCGATGAGCCTTCAGCTTCATTACAATTCATCATCTTTAATTCCTCGAATCAACGACTTCTTGGAAAATATATCTATCAGTGATCATTCATCTTTACTGTCCTTTATACTACTGTCATATTGGCTCCTTCACGTTTTATTACGCTAATTTCATCTCGTTCATTTGGTATGTTAAGGCAACCTAGACTAATGCATATTTACTTCAGGCTTCATGTTAACTATGAGTAACTGGCTTTATTCATGATCTCATGAAAGATCGAACCAAAGACGTGCATATTTCTCTAAGTACATAGTACGACTATATCACTGAGTCACAAGCAGCAATCTGTATTTTAACATCAACCTCCATTTAGAACATTTCGTCAAATAACATTGGTAATTTATACGGTGACTGTCGGGGTTGAGAAAGTTTGGTTAGTGGCATTAAATTGTTGAATGTTCACAGCAGTCTGATGATTACTATTATCCAATACATAAAACCCATAGCACATTATCTAGCAGTGTCTGAAAACTATTTTAAAGAACAATGAAAATCATTCATGGCACTGATAAAACTGCATATGGTATAAGTCTGTCCAAAGTTTATGGATTGTATCTAGAGTACTAGTCATTTCTACAAAATGGGATGTTACTATGAAAAATGCTTGCTAAAAGGCAAGAAAGAAACAGTTTTCAAAGTCTAATTTGATATCGGATAAAAAAGAGTTGAAGCAACTTTATTCTTCTTGTCAAATAAAATGTTCCAAAACTGTTTAAGTGTAAACTTTTAGTAAAGTCATAAAAATAATGCGATATTTTATGTACTTTCACTTTTGACCTTTTTCGTAAAACGGATCCTTTCGGAAGACTAAGAAAAAATATGCTTAAAACAAATTTGTTGCCATCTGTAGGACTCCATAACTTATTTGCAGTTTCAGGAACTCTCCGTTTAAGAACACTATGATGTGTCGTTCAGCAAACGTTAAAAAATGACAAATGACCAACTGCAATACCTCAATACATTTACGAATACTGAGTATCTTAAATTCTCTGAGTAGAATCTGCGACTAAAATCACAGTCTAAATGGTACTAAATTTCCTGTCACTCGTGATGAATTTGTCGCTTCACGGCTAGCTTCGGAAAATTTTTGTGTCAAAAAACATTTTGAATATAGAAATATGTAACAATGCATAAATGCGAACCAATGGGTGTAGTTACAGTAAAAATCATAACGCAATTTTTACTCGACAAAAATAGATAAGCACTGTATTAAAAAGCTGGAGTTGAAATATGAAACTAACCGTCAGAATATTTAGTAACTGATGAATGTTGAGACTGAGGACTTTTCTTGTCTTCTTTTGAGCGTTTCGATGATGGCAAAGAAGACACCTAGATGGAAAGATATTCAAATCACTAAAATTCTGAACACACTGTCTGTGTAATTATGGCTTGGGAGTGTTTTGTGGACACAACTGGACAATGAGTGACACCAATTTGTCTACATAATCCGGGAAAATCATTTTCCAAAATACCAGTCACAACATAATCCTCTATGAAACAAACAAGACAGTTTACTATTGTTTACTTGGATCTGAAATAATATGGAGATCCCCAACTTTTGGAGATTTGTCTTTTGCAGATTTTTTCCCCATCTGCTTACATATTTGAGAAGTCGTCTATAGTAACACTCAAGGTTAGTGTACATTCAAAGAATTCAAAGCAGTACAAGTCGAAATAATCAAATTGCATCATTTTATACATTAAAAAGTGACCCTTGGTCCTAAAATATGCCACTTTATTTTTTTTTATTTTTTAGAGCAAGTCATGTTACACATCATTTTCAGTTTCAGTTTGGGAAGGACAGGAGGCTTGATGGCCTGTGTTAGTCCTGGCAATAGTGCTCCCTCAGTTCATCCAACTTTCTTTTGAAAGAATCGACGGATGGAGCCTCAACCACGTGCTGAGGTAATGAGTTCCACTCGTTGATGATTCGATGGGAAAGTCAATAGTCAGCTGACAAGTAATTTGTTCTTGGCTTGTGAACTTTTTTGGAGTGTCCTTGTAAATTCTCTGTTTTGGAAGACAAGAAAAATGAGGGCATATCAGGTGCACATTTATCACTAAGCAGTTTGAAAACTGCAATCAAGTCGCCTCTAGTTCTGCGATATGACAACGGGAAAAGGTTTAGCTTGGCCAGTCGAGCCTCATACGGAAGCTTCGCTATTCCGGGAATCAGCTTAGTTGCCGTTCTCTGAACGTTTTCCAGAAGCTCACTGTCTTTTTTTAAGCAGGGGCTGGCCGCTTGTATGCAGTACTCAAGTTTGGGAAGTATGAAAACTGTATACGAAGTCAAAAACGTTTTAGCGTCGATATGACTAAAAGCCCTACGTATTGACCATGGCGTTCTAAAACCTTTGGCGGCTATTGCACGGCAGTGTGCAGTAGTCATTAAGTCTTGGCTAACGATGACTCCTAAGTCACTATATGTTTGGACGACAGGTAGCTCAGTGTTATTCATCGTGTATGTATCTGTGCCTTGATGACCGATATGCATCACAACACACTTGAAAGTATTTATCGGCAACTGCCATGTCTGAGACCATTCAGATAACTTCAGGTCATTTTGAAGTTCTAAGCTATCACTCTTACATCGTATCGTTCTCCATATCTTGACATCGTCAGCATATAGCAAGACCGATGATGATAGGAGACAAGGAAGGTCATTTACATACAAGAGGAATAGCACTGGCCCCAATACTGTACCCTGGGGCACTCCACTAAGCACAGTTTCCCAGCTAGATAACTTTGAGTTCACCCTTACTCTTTGTTGACGCCCAACTAAGAAGTCTTTTATCCACATCAATAAATTGCCTCCAATCCCGACTTTTCTTAACTCATATAACAGCCGGTTGTGTGGAACTTTGTCAAAAGCATTGCTGAAATCAATGAAGACTACGTCTACAGGTAACTTTTGGTCCTTAAGAGAGCACCAGCTTTCACGAGCCACTAATAAGTTGGTGACCTATTAGTTAGTAACCTATTCTGAAACCGTTCTGCTTCTCCGAAAGGATCCGGTTTTTATGGAGATACTTAAACAGCTCCTTCCGAATAATCTTTTCTAAGATTTTAACAACCACTCTAGTTAGGCTAACAGGGCGGTAATTCTCAGGTTTGTGTTTCGTACCTGTTTTGAAGACAGGACTTACTATGACGTTTTTCCAGTCTTTGGGTAAATGACCCTGCGTTACGGATAGGTTAAAGCATATACTTAAAGGGTCCGCAACGAAGTTAGATAATTCCTTCAGTAGCCTAGGATGTAATTCATCGGGCCCCGTGGATTTACCTATGTCAAGCTTGTTTAGTAGACCAAAGACATCGAGTCCTTTAATGGTTACGCTATCCAGTGTATGTATAGGGGGATCTGTATGCGCTGATGGGAAGGGTGCTTCTATGGTGTATACATTGCTAAAGTAGTTTGAGAACACTTGAGCCTTACTAAAGTCGTCCTCCACTAGTGACGCGGCAGTGCTGCCTCCCATAGAGCAGGAATATTTCCTCTTCTCTTCGTCCTTTGGTTTATATAAGAATACAAGCGTTTAGGGCATTCTATGGATTCCTTAACAATCCTTTCTTCGTACAACTTTCTAGACTTACGGAGGGTCGAGGCACGGGTATTCCGGACTTTTCGATACTGGGATTTAGTTTCATCAGTCCCCAGTGACCTAAATCTATCCCACATTTTTCTTCTCTTACGGAGAAGGATGCGGATCTCCCTACTGAACCATGGTGGGGAGTTTCTCGGTCCCCTTGGTATAGTCCAAGGGATGTGGGGTGTGTTAACTTTTAAGTATGAATTTCGAAATGCGTCCCAGGCCGTTTCAACTGAGGACTCTGGGTCTATTGTCCAGTCTACTAACGATGCTGAGTGCATGATACCTGGTATATTTGCTTTCCAGACGTTAGGTCTGAATCGGGCTGACGCGTGCTCGTGACTGACAGTTATATGGAGGTCGAAAATTAAAACTGTGTGATCACTTTTACCTAGGGGTGGCGTATAATGAACGTTGGCAACGTCATCCACATAGTGAGTGAGTATCAGGTCTAGTAAAGATGATTCAGTGTCCGGGTCGTACCTAGTCGCTTCTTTCACATGTTGCACTAGAGCACATGTGATAACCGCATCAAGTGGTTCCTGCTCGAAGGAATTTTCTGACGATTCAGTTCGCAGATTTTCCCAGGCTACCGTAGGTGCATTAAAGTCCCCAAGGATTAGACATCGACCACTTTGTGACCAAGTATTGAGACTGCTCAGCAGGACTTCATTTACCTCACAGCTTGGACTGCGATAGACCAAACCAATCAGCAGCTCTTGTCCCTTGCATTTCAAGCGGAGACTAACTAATTCACACGTCCCACTCTCATGGGATACACTGTCGATAATGGCAAATGGGATAGCATTCCTAATGAATAGAGCTACTCCCCCTCCTTTACGCTTTTGTATTCTGTCGGCCCTTACTAAAGTAAAACCCTCGAAATCAAGTTCCATACTATCTATAGCCTGTGTCAGCCAGGTTTTTGTAACTGCGATTATGTCTGGCTTTGTAGAGTCAATCTGTACACCTAGTTCCGATCGCTTATTATGTAAGCTTCGTGCATTGGTGTAACAGATCCGAAGCCTGTTTAAGTGCCTTCGTGCTTCACCCAGAGTGGCTTCTGCATCATTCTCTGTCGAAGCCTTATAACCCGAAAGTTTACAATTTTTAGGTCCTTTTCGCCAGCGTCTAACCTAAGTTGTAGTTATTTTTCAGCTTCCCGTCCTTTTACACGGTCTGCCAACGGTAAGTCTTTTCGTATAAAGACTCCTGAACCCTTTAATTTGTGTTCATCCTGTAAAATTAGGTCACGTTCGTTCGAAGAGTTGGATACTACTTTAAGCGGCCTGGAATGATTTGGTTTCAAGTCCGCTAGCCTCCCTAGTCTGTACACCTTTAGCAAGGTGACCCCGGTGATATTTTGAGGCATGAGTTGACTAAGCAGCTGCTTAGTCAGCACAATGTCATGCTCAAAACGAGCTTTAGGTTCAGAGCTCTCGCTCTCCTTGATTCTATGAAAAGTAGTTGACCTGTCGCTATGATCAGCTTTCGATTTTACGACTACATTCGCGGGGGTAGGATTACCTTTTATATCGCTATTTTTCTTCCCTACAACCTGTACCCATTCGTCAACGGTGCTGGGAGAAGCAAAAACAGTTGCATCAAACCTAGTGTTGGATTTTGGGGGGTTGTCGACGACCAGAGAGGTCAGGTTATGTTTACCGCTTGAAACCGATCGAGCCTTGCGATTGCGGCTTCTAGTCGTTTCCTAATGGGTCCCATCTGGGAGACGGGGAACAGAAGAACCAACTTTCCTTGAGCTTTTGTTTAAGGCAGGTTTCTTTGGAGACTGCCTTTCCTTCTTTGACTGGCGTGAGTCATCTGTTATCGGATTAACCTTAGTTTGCTTCACGTCGATTTGCGTGTCGACAGATCGAGTGCTGTTTGACGTGTTCCGACTACGCTTGCTAAAACACTTCTTTGCAGCATCAACCAGTGGGATGGCCTCGGTTAACAGGCTGTTTGCATCCGAACAGCACTGTTGACAAAGCCATACGCAACCCTTCTTACTAACCGTCTGAAAGCCGCAGGCGTTAAGTTCGTGCAAACTTCGTGGTACCAGCTTTTGCATTCGTCGCACTGCATGCCGCTTTCAACGGGATAACGACAACCCGGACGTTGGCAACTGCTTTTTTTACACTGTCCGGTCATTTATGAGGGGTTCTTTTTCAAGATGCGATGATACTCAGAAACAAAAAAATAATCAATGACCAAAAAAGTGGAGGACTGTAGATTGCTAGGACCAAAAGTACAGCAGATACAGTTGAAAAAAGAGGTACTCAAGAGTACCAACGACAAAACTAATTGAGAGGACAGTAAAAACGATACTCTAGTCGAATACTTTAACTGAAATAAATTCAATTAAAGTGAAAATAGTAGTCTTGATACGTAATAAACGATCAAAACAAACAAATTTACTCAGCGAGGAAAAATACCACTGTCCTTTTTAAATAGCCCCCTGAGAATGAAGTTATTCGGAAGGGAGGGGACTTAACGAGTGCTACGACTGATAATCTAACAACGTGGTAGGACATTCTAGTATAGAAACTGAGATGTCATCGGAAAGTTATGTCTTTGATGAGTTATCGAGCTGATATTCTTCAAATAATAACCATGGTGACCCTCAGGTAAGACAGTTTCGCTTGGTTAATCTAAGTTACTTGATTGGCTGTAATTTGGAGTGACACCGTCTTTTCTGTTTAGTAATATAGAGCTTAATTTATGAAACAGCTCTGAAACCCTTGTAGTGATCTACTTTTATCAAGAGAACGCTATTGGTTTAATGAAAACAGTTATTATTATAACCAATTGTACCAGGGATTGTTTTACCGTACTTGTTTGTTTAACTGTACCAAAATACATACCTTTTTCCGTTGATTGTGACTTTGCACGCACTTACGTTTGTTCAGTGATTCCGCTTGTACGTTTTGGCACGATCTCGGTATTCTTTCGATATCACGAGATCGCCAACAAATATATCTCGCTACAACTTCCAGTCACCTTTTGATATCTGGTACGCAAC